TGAGGGGAGCCTCTGAGGATGGGCAGGATTCGGAAGCAAAGTGAGGGCACCTAGAGGGCTGGACCGGCAGGGATGGAGGTCTGGAGGTGGGGTGGGAGGGGCCAGCCCAACCAGGCACAGATCCCCTCCCTCCAGGACAGGATGGGGGCAGGAAGAAAAGGGGAGCAGCCCTTCTGGGTAGGAGCCAATCGCCCCCTCACCCCCTGCCCCATTCAGGCTGTGATCACCAGGCAGTCACAGAGCGGCCCAGAAATACAGGGGTCACTGAGGGACACGGGTCTCCCAGACGCCTCTGTCATGCCTCCAGGACAGACTCCACCAGGGCACTTAACTGATTAAAATCTCACCCGGTGCTCTCTGAGGATATCATTTTAAAGTTCCAACAGGAGAGGGAGAAGGCCATAGCCAGGCCCAGCTTTATTACCTTCCCATGGACGAACCCCAACGTGACCCCGATGGCAGCTCTTCTTAGCCCTAAAAACCAATGGTGACACTGACCCACGTCCCCTAATGTTTAAGGCCCACGCTGACCTCTCTCCTGATAAATTCATTCTCTGTGATCTGAGCTTAAAAAACCAGCAGCCTGCAAGCTCTGCTTTCTGGAGTTAGCCTCCCCTGACTTCCCAGCCCTGCTCACCTGGAGGACCGCCCTCCCCGTGCACGCCATGTGGCTGGCTGTACGGCAAGACCTCCTCACCCGCTGACTGATGGCCTCCAGGCCCACTGCTCCCAGCTGCAAGCCACCTGCAGTCACCTCCAGATGACTCTCCAAACACGAATTCACGATCTTGGAGGATATGGACACATCACCCAGAGCCATTCCACAACCATTCGGGGGTGGAGGAACTTCCAGAAGGAAGGTCCTCAGGTAGAACGAAGCTAGGCTCCCAGCCAGGATAAGACACCAAGAAGCAAACACCTTGGTCCTGGTTTATGATCTCTGCCCAGCGAGCAGACCCTTGGGACCTGAAGACCACCCCCGGCAAAGGGGAAGGCAACCCCGCTCTATGGGCATGAGTGCCCCTTGCCCTCTCTTCTGCGGGCTGGGCCCCTCCTGCTAGAGAATGGTGCGCCCTGGGCCCCGGTGCCTGCCTCAGCACAGAGTTAGATGGAGGAGTCAGGAAGCAAAGTGAAAGCCACTTCAGAACAAAAGAAGGAACCTTTTGGAAAAATCAGCAAATACCTCTTTCCTTTCCTTCCTCTTTTCCACAAACAAAAAAACAAAAGTTCGTCTGCCCTCCTAGTCTGAGTGTGAGCAGCCCCCTCTGGGGAGAGACCGAGGCCAATGTGACTGCTGTGTCACACAGAGTGACATCACAGGCGGCTGCAGGGAGCAGCCAGGGAACAGCCAGCGGAGGGAAACGCTGAATGTCAAACCAGCTTAGCGAGGAGGAACTGACCTTTGGGGACGAGAGCCCAGTGCCAGTGATTATGCCTGGCTTAACACCCCGCGACCACATGGCCCGCAGGTGTAAGCCATGGCTCTTGTCCTCAGCGGGGCGGCAGCAGCCAAACATGTTTAATGAATGCGGCAAAGTGATAAAGTAGGTTTGTGCTCATACCTCCGATTCCAGCCTTCTCACGGGAAGGCTGGTATTTCAAGTGTCCCTTTGATCTACTGCAAGTCCCTAAGAGGATCCATCCAATAAACACACTGGGTTTAAGTCAGAAATGTTAACAGGACCCTGATCTGCCCTGGGAATGCACCACTACAAACATGTCACATGTCACTCGAGAAAAAGCTGAGGCAGGCCAGGTAGATCAGAGAGGTGCCCCTGGGGCCGATGTTAGCCTTTACCGGATAAGGCTGAGGTCTGGCCGCAGCCAACGCCTAGTTATCAGCTCAAACATTTTCCAAAACAGCTTAGGTTTCTCTGGGGAGAGGGCTTTGATGGTTCCATTTGTTTACGTGCGAGCTCCAGCTTGTCCAGAGGGCCACATTGTTCCTGGGCTGGGGAGTGCCCCTGGGGCTCTGACATACCTTCCCCCAGGGCCTTTCAAGTCCCCCTGAACCTGAGGTGGCTGGGCAGAAACTCCCAGGAGGGCCTACCCTGATCCACAGGGGTGGGAGGAGGCAGGCTTGGTGTTGAGGAGTTGGGCAGGGCAAGCCAGTTGGCTCCTCTGCCTCCAGCCCTATGGCCTGGGCTTTCAAAACCCGCCTGGCAGGCTGCCAGGCCTGGGGTGGGGGCAGTGACTGACTGGCTGGTTATTGGAAAGCTCCCATCATTAGCCCAGGAATGTTGTTTGGTTACCATGGCGACTTTCACTACAAGCAGCCTGACTAAAGCACAAGGAATCTGTTACCTAAAACCACAGAGCCCCAAGGAGCCCTGGGCTTCAGGAACCACCACGCTTATCAGGGCCTGTTCCCTTTGACCCCATATCCCCGTCCCTCCTCTCAGGGCCTCCCAGCTGCCTCCCACACCCAGGACCAGGAGAAAAGACTAGCAAAGGCATCTCCAAGTTGGCCTGGGCCCTTTCACATTCCCCTGCCGGCCTGGCTGGGAACCAGGCCCAACCAGGGTGGCTGCTGCCCCCATGAGGCCCCTGCAGTCCAACCAGCACCGGCCTGGCCAGCACATGTGTCCAGGGCTTAGTCGGAAGCCCTCAGGATTTCAGGAAGCTGCTGAGTGTCTCGTTCCCGCCGTGCCAGGTTCACACTGTCCCTGCGGCCGGCCGGCAGTCTCTGCCTCATCACGTTCCTGCCTTTTTAAACCCAAGCTCCATTAACTAAAGGTCATCCCGTAGCCCGGAAATTAACAGGCTTCTTTGCGTTGCTTTCTAATCCCTGAATTCAGGAGGATTTTCGAAAGTTCAACTCCACGAAAGCTGGGTTTTTCTCCAGGAGTCTTGAGACTGCCTGCAGGAAGAGTGGCCACTTGTGCCGCTGAAAAGCTTAAACACCTTTCACCGAGTGCGCCTGCCCTCCCTCACACACAGGGCTCCCTCCTCCAGCGCCTGGTCCGCGTGCACTGCCCACCTGCTGCTGTCTTACACGGTAGTGGGCCGACTCCCAGACCCCTCCACACTGCTGTCTCTCAACAGGGTTGTACACCGACCCCAAGACCTTTTCTTGTCCGAGTCTCACCACAGACCTTGGGAGCAGAGGAGGCAGGATAGATGCCATCATCTATCCTGCCTCATCTTTGGCAGATGAGGAACGAAGGCATGGGAAGCAGGGGCATGCTGCTGGAGGGGACAGGTTAAGAGGCAGGCATGCCTCACAAGGGGATAGCCCATGTGGAAAGGGGTCCACTGTACGCAGCGACACCCTCCCCTGTGCCATGCTTCCTCCACGCCTGACATTGGCCTGGCCCACCTCTTTCTTCACGAAGGCAGGCTCTGCAGCCTCCAAAGGCCTCGGCCACCTGGGCAGCCGGTGGGGAGGAGCTCAGTGGCAGACAGACCCCCCCGAGTATACAGACCTGGTTGGGCTGACGTCAGTGGGTTTGATTTTTTTTTTTCTGCAGTGATATTATTGGATCGGTCATTTAATTAACTGCTGTGGCAATAGCCAGACCCACACAGCTTGTCCCCAATGTAGGGAGCAGCTGGAGAAGCAGGACACAGTTTCCATTGAAGAGCAATGACATTTTTCAGTGATCCCTGACCGGTAATGGACTCAGTGACATTTCCTGCTAATCCGTGGGTTTCTGTGCTCCGGGGTTTCATCTGTGGGGAATGGTATTGACTTATCTGCAGAGTCATGGTCGCTCCAGAGCTGTGTGGGAGGTGGGTGTTCCACCCCACCTTTTTAAAAGATGGATTTATTTTTCCTGCCTAAGGAACAGGGATTGTCCCCTCACAGTTCCGGCGGTCAGAGCTCCCATATTACCTCCAGTTACTCTCTCAGCCTTTTAGGGCTGGCTCAGATCGAGCTGGTCATGGAGGTGAGGGGCTCAGGGTGGCTCAGAGACAAGAACCTGTCGCTGCTTCTCCACCCCATGACCCGTGTGCAGACATCACAGGGATGGGATGCTCTGGCCCCCAAAAGCTCCCCGGTGGGCCTCTCTGCAGTGATAAAGGAACAGAAGACCCTAAGGAGGCCTCCGGGCTGAGACTCACTTTCCTTCTTGGCTCAGACCTCAAAGCGGTCCCCCTGCTGCTGGCCCCACGGCCCCAGCCCCTGAGGCCCCAGGAGTGGCCCTGTGGTGTCTGGATGGGGGAGCTCTGTTGGGAGGCTGTCCCTTAAGAAGGCTCCTGCCTGCAGAAGCAGGGACACAGCTGACAAAGTGGGGCACAGTTACCCTACAAAGTGATCACAGCACAGTCTGCATTGAGACTTCTCACCTTTTTTGGGTTTAGGGTCCCTCTGAGGGTCTGAGGAAAGCCATGTCCCTGGATGCATGCAAGTGCAAACCTTAGAGTGCAGGTCCAGGTGTTCATGGAGGCCCAGAAGTCCACCCATGGGCCTCCCAGGGGAGCCGCCAACTTCACAGCAAGGACCACCTCCCCCACCTACCCAGGAAGACACTCAGTGAGTGAAGCATCCTGGGGAAGAACTGGGCACCTGAGGTTGGAGGAAAGGGGTGGGTGGACAGTGCACCTACTGCAAATAAGGGAGGGAGGACTGGGGAGAAGCTGGCTTCCTCACCCAGGCCAAGAGCCAGGGAGGATGGGGGAAGCTGGCAGGAGGCGGGAAGCCCTTCCCTGGGTTGGCTGGGAGGAGTTGAGGGAGAGCCAGAGGGCACCCCCACATCCTGGACACACCCCACTCCTGCTGTGCCTCAAACAGCATGGGCTTCAAGCAGGTTTTCACAAGCGGCCGTAGCCTCCCCACATTAGCCCAGGGGAGGTGATTCTGCCAGCAGAAAGCATTAGGTCTAGAAGTTAGGAAGGGACGGCGAGCAGTAGGATGCCAGATGCTGGGCCTGGGGACTGAGGAGGGGCCTGAATCCCCTTTCCGTATTTCCATCAGGACAGCTCTGCCCCCATCTCTTCACAGTCTTGCACCTGTGGCCACCCGCCCCCCCAGCCAGTGGTGCCCGCAGGGAACTCACTTGAAGTTCTCGGGGTACTCCGTGATGGCCATGTTGATGACGTCCAGCGCGAGCTGGTAGTGTTTCTGGGCGGAGAAGAGGAGAGCCAGCAGGTGGAGGGCATTGGCATCATCCCTGCACAATTTCAGGGCCTCCTGCAGCTGCTCCATAGCGCTGGAGATCTGCCAGAGAGAACCGCCAGTTCAGTGACCTTCCCCGAGGCCCACACCTCCCTCTAGGACTTTGGTGCCAGGCACCATCCATCAAGGGGACATGAGACTCAATTGAGACCCTGGGCACTGAGGGGCAGGGCTGGTGCTCTGATGAGAAACCCCCCACCACCCCCCAGTCACATGGCAAGAGGGATCTGCGGCCCAAAGTCAGGCCCAGGAAGCCTCTGCTGTCCCCACGTGGAAGTAAGAGGAGCAGGTGTGAGGTGCAGCACAAAGGATCTGTAAACACTGGGAAGCATTTCCCAAGCTGGAGTGGGGGTCGGTAAGAACCACCAGGCCACGAGTCTGTACCTGAAGGTAGCCAGGCCCTCTTCTCTGGACCAGTCCATGCAGTGACAGGGGCCGACAAATAAATGCCCCCCCTACTCAGAGGCTCACAGTGGCAAGAGCATGGGGTCAGGTGGGGGCAGGATTCCAGCTCTGCCATGTTCCAGCTGGTGCCTTAGGACAAGGGGCTTCACCTCTCTGAGCTGTAGTTCTTAGGCTGCAAAATGAGAGCAGCCAGAGCCATTGCAGTGGCTGAGGGGACGTGGACAAATGCTCTGCAGAGGACCATGCACGTGTGAAAATGTGTTTCCTTCTTCACGCCCTCAAAGCCAGGCAGCTAGCCAGGCAGCTAAGGGTCTGGTAGGATTCCTCCTTCTAGTCCTGAGGGGCGTGTGGTCCCATGCTCTCAGGCCTGGCACTTAGATCAACTACTGTGACTTTGTCCACATCCTCCCAAGAGCCTTGTAAGTCTTTTTAGAAAGGCTGGTTTCTTATCCGATCCTCCCATGTTCCTTGAGGGACCTATGGTGCAGGCCAGTGGGGGCCTTGGGTCCCGGGGTGTCCGGCCCCTGCCTGGTCTCCACTTGGCCTCTGTGCAGGCTGTGGGCGGTGCCGGACCCCGAGAGTTCCCATGAGGACCTTCCTTTGTGGAAAGGTTGAGGAAAGGCAAGGAGGAAGCTAAGGCCAGTGTAGCTGCCAGCTTGGCTTGCCTGTGCCTCCCTGAGGGTGCTCCTACCCTGGTGATTCTCCAGAGTGGACCCCATCATCCTGGGCTGGAGCCACACCCACAGCCTTCACTGCTCGGGTAGCAATACGTGCTCTGGGCAGAACAGGCCAGTGGGCCTGAGACCCAGGCAGGCCAGGGGGCCAGCTTAGAGTCCATTTAGGGGTCCTTGACCCACTGATGCTACCAAGATCTGGGGTCCCCAAGAACACTGGGTGCCAGGGTCCACTGGGCTGGCCCAGCCATCTCTCTGAGACAATAGCTGCCATTCATCAGAGGTGGCTGAAAATTAAAGATATCCAAAAACACATCACCCACGGTCTATCCCAAGTTTGATGGCAAGAAAAGCACCGGTTCTTCTACAGAGACTGAAGATAAAGTGGTCCCAGGCATCTCGCTGTCCGTGCTCCAGGAGAGAGTGGCAGGGAGGTGTCAAGGGCCTCGTCCAGGGGTACGTGGAGCCGTGCCCACTGGCCTGGAGGCTGGTCTTACTGTTTGTGTCAACTCCTGGCTTCTGGTCTCATCTCCAGTTGGCTCACTGAACTGTTTCCCTGGGTTTGTCACGTTGCTGTTTGCTTTCCCTCAACCCTGCCTTGGCCTGGCTTTCCCCCCCGCTGCACCCTGACTCTTATGGCGAGGACCCTTCTCTTTCTGTGTGCTACATATTCCCAATGCACCTGTCGACCCACTTGGGTCAGGGGCTGTACCACATTCTCTGACTTGATCCTTACTAGGTCCCTCTGAGGTGGAGTTTGAAGGTGCTCCCGCAACAGGTAAGGAAATAGAGGCTCAGAGAGGTCAAGTCACTTGCAAAGGGTCACACAGCTGGTAAAAGCAATGGTGCCAGGAAAAGGTCAGCAGCCCCCAGAGACCTGGGGGTTAGGAACCCACCTGTCGGACGAGGGCCAGCTGCAGGGAGACATAGAGGATGACCTGTGGGTCGCCAGGCGCCAGCTGCTGGGCTCTGTATGCGGAAAGGGAGCACCAAGTCAGTCACCAAGGGTCGAGCAACCAGTGTCTGACACAGGCATCCAGCATGCCACGTGTGCCCCGTCTACACCAGGGGGTCTGCTTGGAAAGGTGCCCAGCCGGCAGGTGATGGCTTGGGCAGAAAGCCACCGGTAGGGGCAGCTGCTGACCTGGCTGGGGCCCTGCGGTGGTCCTATACAGAGCCTGGAGCCTGCCCTCTCCACCGTAGGACAGAAGGAAACACCTTCCTGAGGGTGGAGGCGCTGGGAACGGCCTCTCTGGGCAAGAAGCCTCAGGAATGAAGAGGCGGCAGAGAAAGGAAGAAAATGTCTCCCTATCCTGGCGCCCAGGATGGGACTCTCCGATCTCCCTGGGCTTGGGAACAACTTGCCCAGGGGGAGGTAAGTGTGCTGCATTTTCCAGGGAAGCTGGCACAAGGAGTCTGTACCCAGGAGCTTCCACATCAGTGCTAGGGGGGGTCGGGGATCAGACACACAGGGCTCTGAGGAAGGAGTAGGGGGGAGGTCAGGGGCCAAGGCTGTGTGGAGACAGGAGCTCAGCAAGGATGGGTCTGAGGGAGGGAAGGCTGCTGCTGGGGGAAGGTCTTCTCTGCCTCCCCTCTCCACCTCCCCACCCGCACATTCCTGACCCCCTGGCTGCCAGGAAATCTCTGGGAGGACTATGGACGGGGAGTCCTCATAGCCATTGAATTTTTGGCTATGGTAAGGCACTTTTTTGCACAGGTAAGGCACTGTGCAAGGTGCTTTTCCTGCTTTATCTCAGGTAGTCATCACAACAATAATGGGTTATTATTCCCATTTTAGAAACCTGAGCTCAGGAGGGCTGAGGCTCAGCCCGGTGGTAGGGCGGGGGGTGTCCACCAGTGTTGAAAGGCCCCACCGCCCACCCAACCCCAAAGGCCTGTCTCTGCTTCATGCGTGAGCTCTCAGAGCCTTGGTTTCCTGGTCAATAAAATGGGGACAGAAACCTTTGCTCCATCTACACCAGAGGGTCATTGAGATCAAATATGCACACTGGTACCTGTGCTCCTGTGCAATTCGGGCCCCCTTACCTCTCCAGCGTCTGCAGTGCTTTCCGGTGCAACTCATCCTGCCTGCACTTCAGAGTCGCTGCAGAAGACAGGATGGAGAAAGCCATGAGGGGGTGCTGAGGGTGCGACCAGCCCTGCCCCACCCCAGGGCACACATGCTCTGCAGGGAGAGGCCGCATCGGGCCCTGTCTGGCAAATGCTGGCACTCCAACAGCCTCCATTGATGCCACCCATTGCCCTGGTTACTGGGGGAGGGTGTGGGGTGTCCACCTGACCCCAGCCCCCTGGCATGGTTCTTGGCACACCAGGCCCTTCCACTCCACTGCCTTCTTTGTCACCTGTGTCAACCTGACCCTCTCAAAGGCCTGAGCTTGGAGAAAGAGGTTCCCACTTCCATCCTGGCCACATGCCTCCTTGGGCTTCCTTATCCATGAGGCTGCTGCTTCTTTCTTAGCTATTTTAACAAATTTTAAGTGTACAGCTCAGTGGCATTAAGTACATTCACAATGTGTGTAACCACCACCACCATCCATCTCCAGAACTTGTTCATTATGCCTAACAGAAAGTCTACACCCACAGAGCACTAATTCCCCTCCCTCCCTCCCCACCCCATAACCTCTAGTATACTCTCAGGGGCCGAGTCCCATCCCAGGTTTAGTCTGGGGCGTCCATCGCTCCCTTTCTCTCAAGCCGCATGGATACAGAAGTAGGTGGCTGCCTGATCCATGGGGACACACGCTGAGCTGTCAGGGTTGGAGAGCGAATGCTAGGCTCTGAGTAGCAGAAGTGAAACCCCTCCTCCAAGTGCAAGTATTTATTAAATGCTTGCTGTATACCCAGCTCTACACTATGCACGGAGAGGGATTCAAAAGACTCCAGAAGATTACAGCAGTGCTGAGGTTAAAGGTGAACCAGAATGAACTAGACTATGGGATCAGGGCTGGCGGGCCACTACAGCTGCCAGTACCACAAAGGGTCCCAGAGGCAGAGGTTGGCATGAGTTCTGCCAGGAGCTGGGGCTGGGTCTTGAAGGGTGGGAAAACTGGTTGATGAAGACGACATCTCTGAGAGGTGTGAAGTGTGGACAAAGGAGTGGAAATGGGACTGAGGGGTGTGTGTGTGTGTACACACATCTATCCCAGAGGAATCAAAGGGGGTGTATTGGGAGGTAGACACTGCTGAAACAAGAGGCCATTAGGAGGCCTGAGTCACCCCAAGAAGAGGCTCCGAGACCCCGGCACTCACCGTCAGTGGCCTGCAGGCTGTAGGTGAGACCCAGTGCCAGGTAGGCCTTGGAGAGGAACTCCCCAGCTTCCTCCCCACGGTCAATCACCATCATGGCAAAGCACTCCGCCTCCTCCAGCTGCAAAGAGGAGAGGCAAAGGTCACTGGGAGGGCTTTGCTGGCCTTGGCATGCAAGCCACTCACAGTCACTAGCCCCGATCACTCAGAACTGTCATTCCTTGTGTGTGGGCAGAGGCCAGGTGGCTTGTCCAAGGCCACACAGCCAGAGTGGATCAAAGCTATTACCTCTACCAGTGACTCCCTGGACCTCTCCACCCACCCAGGGGCCTGTGCTCAAGGGCATTACCTCGCTCAGAGAAAGCGTCCCTCATCCCAGGGCCCTGTGTCTCCCATCACTTGCTCTGCTGAGAGCATGGACCCAGGCCCAGGCCAGTCTGAGCTAGGCCCTTTCCTCATCTGGCCTCCGTAGGTACCTGTGTCTGTCCCTGCTCAGCAGAAGGAAGCCAGGGCAGGGGGAACAGACAGGGGTCTGGGCTGGGCCTGGGGGCCACTGCCCACCCCACAGAGTGGTCAGGCTGCCGCTTCTGCTGTGCCTGTGAGCTCGCTCCCCGACACAGAGAACTCAAAGCTTTCAGGGGACAAAGGCCTGGGGTGGTTTTTGTCCTGTTCCAGTTGGAAAGGGACCAATTGGCACAGGTCACGTGTGCATGTACCATCATATACAACATGTGACACAGAGAGAGGGGCATGCACAAGGCAGGCCTCCAGAGCCTCTGGGCAACCCACATGTTCAGGCCAGTTAGGGGGGGAGGGGGCAGCCAGGGGCCTCGGCCATGTCCACTCCCAGCCCACAGGCCTCCAAGAAATGCCCCTTCCTCCTTTCAGGCCCAGGAATGCCATCTGCACACAAGCCTGGTATGGCAGTGCACCCAAGTGCGTGTCACCAGGAACAAAGATGGGTTCTACCCATAGTAAAGGGGCTTAACAGATCATAGCCAAAGCCCACTGCCACCCCAAGGTCCCCTGTGTGGGGTGTCTTCCCCCAGGAGAGGCCCATGAGGTCAGCCAACCAGGGAGAAGAGGCAAACCTAAGTTGGCTTCTGGCACCCAAGCCAGTGTGGCCCGCCCCGCTCCTGTCCCTGCCAGGCCCAACCCCGCTCCCTTGGGAGAGGGGCAACTCTGCATCTGGTGGCCTGAGCACTGGCCATATGGACTCTCTCCCTGGAATATGGAGCTGAGATGCTGAGACGGAGGCCATCAGCGTGGAGAAGCGAGTTGAGCTGAGTCCACCATTTGGGCACAGCGGTGGCAAACCACGTGCAGGGAAAAGGCTGATGGAGCAGAGAATCCAGTCAGAGAGGGAAAAATAAGCCCCACGTACAAGGGAACCTGAGAGGGTGAGCTGAGAGCCCAGATAGAAATGACTGAGGAGGGCTGAATCCCTCTGTGGCCCAACCACCACCCCTGACAAATGCTGACCAGGGTAGCCCTCCAGTGCCCTCGCGGTAGAGCTCAAGCTGTTGGCTTGGGCAATGGGCCACCTCCATCCAGGATGGTAGGCTGGTAAACAAGGGAGCCTGGCCAGTGTGGCTCAGTGGTTAAGCATCGACCTATGAATCAGGAGGTCACGGTTGATTCCCGGTCATGGCACATGCCTGGGTTGTGGGCTCAAACCCCGGTGTGGTGTGTGCAGGAGGCAGCCAATCAATGATTCTATCTCTCTCCCTCTCCCTTCCTCTCTGACATCAATAAAAATAAATTAAACATACAAAAAACAAGGGAGTCAGGGAGCTGGGCCTCTGACACCATCAGACCCTAGGAGTTGGGGCTCAGGGGGAGGCAGCAGCTCAGGAAACCCCACGGCTGCCGGCTGCCCAGCCCCAACTGGCAGGTGTGCCTACAGCTGGAGATGCTGAGCTCTGTCTGCTGGAGTCAGAACCAGGTTGTAAGAAGAGCACTGGTGGACAAGCCCCCGACCCCAGCTCTGACCCTGGCTCGGCACCTGACAGCCATGGGGCTTTGAGAAAGTCATTTAGTTTCTTGGCCCCAAAGGTCCTCATCTGCAAAATGCAAAGCTGCAACCCCCACTGTAACTGCTCCTCCCTACAAACCACACTCTGTGCTGGGCCCGACTGGGGATGCCCAATGACAAGGGGGAAGGATGCCTGGTGAACTGGCATGGGATTCTGTGAGCCACACAAAGCAGGGCAAGACCCCACAGAACAAGGTGGCTCTTAATTAAGGTTACACTGTGTGGGCCTTGCTTGGGACTATGGCATCTTCAAGAGAGAAGCAATCGTGCGGCTGGGGTCTCATGGCAGGGCGAGGGGAGGCAGCAGGCATCATGGGAAGGGTTAGGGAGCAAAGAGCACCTTTCCTCCTTCCTAATATCCCCACTGCTGATCGGCTCATCTCACACACTGTCTTTAGGCCTCGTTATGCCTCATGCAAAAGGAACAGGCTTATTTTTATAAACCACCAAGTACAAGTTATAAAAAGAATCCAGAAACCTACTGCACTCTATGTGTAAACACTTCCCATGCCCATGTCCTTCCACTCGGCCAACGCCAGCTTCTACCGCCTGCAACCCACGTAGAAAGGGTGCTGGGAACAAGGCTCAGCGATGTCTGGCAAACAGGGAAAATTACTCTCCAGTTCAAACACATATTCTGGATGAATAGAGCTCACCAGCCTTTCGCTTTAAAAACACAATCCTTAGCTTGTCCACCTGTGGTCCACTCTGACCCCCAGGCCAGTGGCCTTCCTTCACCAGTATTTGCCAGTCTTTTTTTTTTTTTTAAATATATTTTATTGATTTTATACAGAGAGGAAGGGAGAGAGATATAGAGTCAGAAACATCGATGAGAGAGAAACATCGACCAGCCGCCTCCTGCACATCCCCCACCGGGGATGTGCCCGCAACCCAGGTACATGCCCTTGACCGGAATCGAACCTGGGACCTTTCAGTCCGCAGGCCGACGCTCTATCCACTGAGCCAAACCGGTTTCGGCCAGTATTTGCCAGTCTTATTCACATAGTTTAACATGATCTCTAAGCACGGTGTCAGCATGTATCTCAAATCAAACTCACAAGGCTTCAATGTGCCATTTTCCTACACAGCCAACACTATTTTGAGTTCTGTTACCAGAAACAAAGCAGCCTTTACACGCGGAGCCAATGCAGTGATTATGAAGGAAAAGAAATATTATCAGTCTATTAAGTATGACCATATGCAATATGATAAACAACCTCCAAATACATATGTATTTTAAATATAAAAATATATATTAAAAATAAATATATATTTAAAGAAAAAATATATATAATGCCCAATTCTAAGACAAGAGTGGGATTCCTAAACCCCTTGAAATGTGCCCTTTCCATCTTTGTCCTCAAGTCCTATAACCCAACCTAAGTTCTGAGTCAGCTTCAGACCCATGAAGAGCTCTTCACACAGAAAGCAGGGCAGCCTAGTAGCTAAGAACACAAACCCTGGGGCCGCACTTGCTGGGCTCACATCCCGGTTTGGCTACTTACTAACGGCGACCTTGGGCACATCACTTCACTCTGCTGTGCCTCAGTTCCTTCTTCTGCGAAAGAGGGGTAAGAACTGTCTGCTCCATCGAGTTCCTGAGAGGACTGGATGAGATGGAGTCATGGGGAATGCTCAGAGCAGAGCTTGCATGAATGCAGACTGCATTATTAGTTGTAATTTTATATTTACAATTAGTTCAACCTTCCAGAAATGTTGTAAATCTCAGCCTGATAGATGTAGCCAGTGCCATCTGAGCAGATCCTCCCCTATAGCTACGTGACCTCAGTGACCAATTAGGAAGTGGCATCGAAGACCCTCCTGAATCCAGAGAGGGGACATGACTGCCCGCCCTCTGTCTCTGGCCTGACCCTCACTCGGTCACAGAAAAGGAGTGACTCTACACAGGACAAGCTGGGTCTCCACAGCCTTGGGAGGCCACTGACGCCGGCCCACGGTCCAGGACGCACAGACATGTAACCATTAATCTACCCTTTGTCACAACACTCGCCCCAACCGAGGGCAATACACTCGGATATTTTCTATCCCATTCTCTAACAGTCTATTTCAACTACTTTTTAAAGAGTTCTATTTCACAACCCACTAATGGGTGTCAACCTGGGTTGTGAAAAGACAAATAGTTGATTGAGCTCCCCAGCCGCTGCCCATCTAGCCATTTTCTCCCCACCCGGGACCTCATTGGTCCTTTCCAATCTCCCGATGCTTCCTCCCGTGGCCTGAAAAGTAACAGCGGTAGCTCTTTAGTGGTGGCTCCTGCTTCTGCACGATTCACTCAGGTTACAGCACTGGGCTCTCCTTGCTCATCAACGTACTTCTAGGCTGAGGGGTTTTCAAAGTTCTTTTCAACTGTTCCCTTCCCAACAATACACTGCTTTCAATACATCCTTTACCTACGGCAGCCATGTCACTGCACAAAACCCAGGTGTGATCCTTGCACCCTCGCCCTCCATAATTCGAGTGAATTAGCGCTCACCTGACCCGTACTGCGGCCACCTGATGGGATGGTGTTTCACAGTCGAAGGTTCTGAGGCACAGGGACTTAGGGGACCACCCAGGGTTAGTAAGCAGCAGAAGTGAGTTTCCGACCCAGGTCTCCTGATCTACAGCCGGCTCTCCCTGAGCTGCCTGCTCCAGTGCTGCCCTCCATGGCGCTTCCTTTTCCTCCTCTCTGACCCTTGGGGAAAGGATGCCCTCAAGGATATGGGCTGAACCTTGGCTTTTGCCTTCCACAAGTAAGAAAAGTGACCGGACAAGTTCCTGCCTCTCTCCAGCTGTCCTAATTTGGTCCCCACACAAGGCCGGCATTAGCTGCACACCCTGCTCACGCTCAGGCTGCCTTCGGACTCCAGGGCTGCCTAAGAGGTTGTCCCCTGGAATCTTCACCGCCTCCTCCCTTCCTGGGAACTAGAGAGGGGTCACTCCTGAGCCTGCAGAGCTTGTTGAACAGCACCCAGCACCGGGGTTTCTCCCGAGCCGAGCCCCGAGGCCCGTCCCACAGGCCCAGGAGCTGCTGTTATCTGCTCTACTAAAAAGACTGAAAATGCGTCTTCCCCAGAGGGGCAGGCACTCTCCCTAATTCCCACAGCGAATGGCAGGAGAGCCGCCTCATCCACACTGAATCCATCTTCCCACCCCTGAATCTGAAAAGTGAAGGCAAAACCACAAAAGCACATCCCTCTGAGAGCCTCTGTGTCGAAGAGGCTGGCACAGGGATAGCTGCCATTTACCAGGGACCTGCAATGTGCCGAGTGGAGACACTGCTCAGCTCCAGGCTACGGATGAGGCACAGCGAGGGCACGTTACTCCCCTGAAGTCACACAGCACCCAGTGGGCAGGCAGGAATTTGAACCCTACCCTCTCTGCCTCCAAAGCCTGCACTCTTTCTACCGCCCCACAGTCTCCTCAGGGGAAGTGGCCCGAGACAGTGCCCCAGACCCTGAGGGCATGGCCTGCTATTCTGTTTCGTAACATCCTCCCCTTCTCTTTCTGTGTGTGGCACACAGCACACATACATACCCCATCTCCCATCCTCCTAGAAAAGTCAACTTTTTAAATTGCATGACTTTTAAATAATTGCGTTTGAAGAGATATTAAAAAATATTTACAGCCAAAACCGGTTTGGCTCAGTGGATAGAGTGTCGGCCTGCGGACTGGAAGGTCCCGGGTTCGATTCCGGTCAGGGGCATGTACCTTGGTTGCGGCATATCCCCAGTGGGAGATGTGCAGGAGGCAGCTGATCGATGTTTCTCTCTCATCAATGTTTCTAACTATCTCTCTCCCTTCCTCTCTGTAAAAAATCAATAAAATATATTAAAAAAAAATATTTACATCTCCCTTTTCTCCTGTCCCAAATCACTGACTGGGGACCCTGGTGAGATGCTGGCTGTGCCAGAGCAGGAGATTGCCACACACAGCTGTCACCTAGGGGAGCGCCAGGCTAAGCCTCCCACCTGATTCCATAGCTGCCCCAACTGCTTCCACCCCCCCCCCCCCGCCCCCCGCCCCGCAAACCCCATATCAACCAGCACGTGACCATCCCTCTGCCTGGTCCCCTCCCTACCCGCCCTGAGACCCAGACCCAGCCTGGGACATCCCACACTGGCTCCAGGCATAAGGACAGGACGTGGGGACAGCAGGTGCTCCGCCTCTGGGCACATGGCCACCCAGTCCGGTTTCATCCAGCACAACTCGTTTTTCAAATGTCCCAGTTTCAGCCTCCCTTTCTGCAACCTGGGCCAAACTGTCCACCTGGAGATTTCTGTCCCCTGCTAACAGCGCTTGGCTGGACCATGGCTGGGCCTGCTGGGGGCTGATGTGAGCCAGAATGGCCACGAAGAAAGCGGACAAGGTGATGTCAGAAACCTTTCGGGATCCATGCTGTGTCCCAAGTACTAGCAGCCCGCTGTGTGCCCCGTCAGACCCATTCTTCCTGCTCACAGCCTTGATAACAGGGAGTGCTGCTGCCCCTCTCCTGGCCTCCTTGAGAATGGGCTGCTCTTGGCTACCAACAGCCTGTTTCTGTTCTTGGCCCAGCACAACCCAGGGAGGCAGGGAGCACCACTGAACCAGATGCAGACCTCCCACACCTGTCCCTCCTGGCCAGCTGGGGCAGGCATCATTCTGTAAGGCAGTAGTGAACACCTCGTATGTGCAGGGTTCTGTGTGGGGAAGGGGGCTCAGGGTGCAAGTCACAGCAGGTGAAGAAGCTCCCTGTCTAATCGGGAAGAGAAGTACCATGTAAGGCAGAACTGGGTGCCACGTGTACTGTGCTCATCAGCAAGTAGGATTCATCCAATAAGCACCAGGCATCAGCTCTGGGCTGGGGTTTCAGGAAGGAAGAGAGATAGTTCCCTCCCTCAAGAAACACTGATGAGCCCTAGCTGGTTTGGTTCAGTGGACAGAGCGTCGGCCTGGGACTGAAGGGTCCCAGGTTCGATTCTGGTCAAGGGCACACGCCCGTGTTGCAGGCTCAATCTCCAGTAGGGGGCAGGCAGGAAGCAGCCGATCAAAAACTAATGACCACAATGAGATGTGCTCCGTGTCCACGGCAGGTATAAGTGAGGCTTTAGGGAGCCACAGAGGTGAGGTTTCGATCAGGGAAGGCCACCAGGAGACCCCCCACCCCGCAGCCCTCCAACGGGACCCACTCCAGCCTGTACCCGATTTAAACCCAGGCTCAAACCAGCCCCCTAACCCAAATATGCTCTCAGCTGAGGTTAAACAACTCCCCTCCTCCCTGATTCTGGTGACAAGTCTGCATGTTTAAGTTGCCTTTTGGGCTTTTCTATTTATGTTGTCATTGATTCCTTTGCTCCTAACTCATCTGATTTCAATTTGGACTGATTTGATCCTAATTTTATTACCATGTAATCTGAATGCACATAATTACTGTAATTATGCTGCTGAGGGAAACAGTTCCTCCACGGCGGGAAGACCTAAATTTAGGACTTCCTGGCAAGGGCGGCCGTTGGCTGGGTGGACCCACAGCCACCTCAGAGCTGGCAGCCTTTGGGAGCACAGATGCCCTCCCCCGCCCCACCTCAGCGAGGTGGATATTTTGGGCTTCATACTAGTGATGGAGCTGGGGCCCCTCTCAGAGCCTGGGAATACACAGGACTGTGAGCTAAGGGTTGGCGAGCCCACCCTCTTTGTTTTCCAGCTCATACCACCACCCGCTGTTGCATTGCTCAGCCTGGGTGCCTCCTTTCTGCCAGCACCCACATCCCACCCACATCCCAAGGCTGCTCTACCTCTAGGGTGCAGGATGCCAGCGGTCTCTCTGGGAAGAATTGGTTTTCCTGCTAATCATGGGGCGAGGGCGAGCAAGCTGTGACGGAAGGGCCTGCCGCTGGCCTGTGTGGACCCCTCCCAGACCTCCAAGCCTCGTCCCAGACCTCCTCCTGCAGGAAGCCTCCCTGACCCACCCAGCTCTCTCCATATGTTTTCATTATATCAACGTCATATACACAGCAAGATGGGCATGTCCCCCCATCATTCTCCCGCAGGAGGCGGCCAGGCCCTGGCCCCTGCCCACCCCGCCCCCACAGCTCACTTACCCAGTGCAGGGACCCGATGCAGACTTTGGCGGCCATCAGGGGCACGGTGGGGTCCGAGGGCCGCAGCTTCACACACTCCCGTAGCAGCGACACAGCGTAGGCCGACTGCAGAGAGAGAGCAGGCATCGCCATCACGCGCAGCCCTAGGTGGCAACAGACTGGGCACCTTGTGCACAATGGGGGCAGTTCCCAAATTGCCAGCCCTGTCTCTGCATCCCTTTCCTCTCAAGAGCCAGGAAGTGGGCCCAGTAGGAGCCCAGGCAGTGTGGGCAGGCAAGTCCCTCCTAGGCCTCAGTTTCCACACCTGGAGAATGGAAGCTGTGATCCTTACCCAGAAGTGATATGACAACAGCTAAGGTGACAACAGATGGAGGCTCTTTAAAAAGAATTCAGATGTGAACCACACAAATTTTAGAGGTAGAAAGGGGCTGTCTCAAACTTCTAACTCTTGGGTTAGCAGATGATGAGATCAGGCCCAAACCACATGGGACTTGGAGGCAGGGCTGGTGGTAGGGAGTGGGGTGGGAGTCTAAAGACTGGCAGACTAGCAGGAGAGAAGCCAAGGTGGTAGAGCCAGGGAGAACCTCCAGACAGGAATCTGGGGATGCCCCAAGGCTCTAGGGACTCAGTTAGACTGGACCTGCTGAGGATGGCCACGGGTGGACGGAGGCCCAAGGGGGGAGCATCCTGGGCGAGGCAGGGATATAACTAATCACAGTAATGAGAAGAACACCAGCAACACTTATCTAGATCTCACTATGGACCAAGCATTGCTATAAGTATGAGGGCCAAATGTGGCCCTCAGCTTGCTTTTGTAAATAAAGTTTTATTGGAACTCAGCCACATCCATTCATGTATGTATTGTCTTGTGGCTGCCTTCACGATGCGAAGGCAGAATTGAGTAGTTCCCACAGAAACTATTTGGCCTGCAAAGTCAAAACTGTCTATTCGCTGACCCTTTAGAGAAAGTCTGAGCTTTTCTCGGCCCAGATGTGACTTCCCGGGCTCTGGGCTCAGGCTTATTAGGCCAATTCCAGGTGTCTCAGCCAACCGCCTGCTCTGCCCTGTACTGTGGGAAGGCCATGGCTCTTGGCTATCAGGAAGGCTGGAGAGAGAAGAAAAACACCACTGTCCCCCACTGCTCTCTCAGGAATCAAGAGGACCACCTACAAGAGGGTGCTAGCAGATGGCAGCCTTTGTTAGGCTGAGGATGCACAGGGTGCCCTGTGTGGGCTGGAGCAAGAGAGGCTTTGAAGGGCTTGACAGAGCTGCCTGGCCCTCCACCTCTCCTGAGACCCCTGTGAGCTATTCCCAGCACCCGCACCACCGCCCCTCTGGCCACACACCCTAGCGAGCTTCAAGGCCTTTCCTTGGCTTCCTTCCCTGGTTGCTGACCTGTGCATCCTTGAAACACAGGGTTCTCTAACCCTGACCTCCACATTCACATTCTCCCCCACACAGACCACAAAACGCTGCTATTTAAGGAGCCATCTGAGGACTCCGCAGTCAGAGCAGCCGGCATTTTTTTTGGTCACACTGGTTACCTAGCAACGCAGCCAACGTGACTGCTGAGGAGACCAAAAGATAGAGCGACCTACATCATGCCATGGAACTCACTTTCTTCTTGCAGGCTGCAGTGCCGGTACCTTTCTATCTGCCCGCCTCACCTCCTGGAAGACCTTTCTGGCACAATCACAGGTACAGAACCTGGATTTCCACCTCAGGGTCTTAGAAAAGGTGAGGTCTGGCCAACCAGGCCCACTGATCTCTGGGCAGGGCTCCTGAGGAGGTGGAGAGTTCAGAACAATCGTCTGCCGCACGGGTGGGTGTAACCCGGCTGGAGGGGCCTCGTGTGAGGAACTCACCAATCACCTCGCACCCACCATAAGCACATTCTCCTGTGCGCCTGGCTCCTGTGAAGGAGCGGGCCGGGCACCAGCTCCCGGGACCCTGGAATGAGCCAGGCTGCATCAGGGCCCCTCTGAGCCTGGTCTTCTCAGTGAGGAGGTGGAAGGCCCCTACCTTCCAGGCTAACACGGCACCTTCTCCGAGACTGGGGCCTCCGGGAGCAACCAGAAATTAAAGCTAACTTTGTGGGCGGTGCTTTTTCCTGAGGAGGGGTCCCAGCTTTCCTCAGCATCTCACAGGGGTCCATGACTCACAGAAGGCGAGAACCCGTATGGCCCTGGATCTCCTGGGCCACGCTCACTATTACAGAACTGGAGGCATTTTCTCTGTTCCCTGGAGGCAGGAAGCTCTCACATGCCCCGTGCACTGTCTGCCCAGGCTCCATGGAAGCCCCAGCCCCCACTCCTCCCTCCTCATCTCTGTTCTGAACTCTCCCTGAGCCCTGACAAGACCCTGCTGAGCACAGAGCTGGGGTACATCAGGTCATGTTCAGGGTGCTCTGTGGGGTGGCCAATGTGATGGGGGTTGGGGGGCGGGGAGAGGCTTGGGAAGACAAATGCCCAGCAGGGCAGGGGCAGAGAAGCTCCCACTTGATTCTTGGCTGGACTTCCCACCGGCTAGGCTACAGCACCTGCTCTCCCTTCCTCTCCCTGCCAGGACCCAGCCTGTACACCCTGCATTCATGACGGAGGCGCTGGCAGCCTAGGAGGGCCCTCCTCGGAGACGGAGCAGGGCTAGAAATGGCAGGTGGCACAGATGGGCGGGCAGGGGCAGAGGGGGCGAGGAATTCCCTCAGCCCCACGAAAGGGCCCTGGGTGTTTACAGCTCTTGGAATGATCTGCGAGCTCATGCCACCTTACTTCCTGCCTTCGAAGCAGCCTCAGTTCCAACAGCCCCAGTACCCAGCCCCGGGAAGCTTTTCGTATCATGCCGCTACTTAAAATAGGGGCTTATGTAAGTGTGATTCTCATCAGAGGAAGAGCGAGGGGTGCTGGAGCAGGGCTTGGAGGGCAGAGAGCAAATGCAGCCCGTCCTCCCGGGATCCGGTCAGCTCCAGGTTCACGAGCAGGTGCCTCCCGGACTCCACGCTCGGGGGCAGGAAGTCAGCCACAGCCCAAACGGAACACAGTTCCCCTTGCTGGGACCCACTCCCCACGCCTGACTCGTGCAGTCTGCCCGTCAGCTCACTGTGGAAGTGCCACGATGCTCCCTGCGCGCACACACACCCTCAGAGAAAAGCACAGCCATAGACTCACACGTGCACACGGGATTCACGTGCACAGGGGTCTGTGTGTGGCCCTCCCATGACCTCACCCTCCTGGAGATGAAAATCAGCCGCCTGACAAACATTTCTGGGTCCTGCATGCCATCCCCACCTCTGGGAGGGACCAGAGGAGAGCAGAGCCCCCTGAGGGTGATGCGCAGCCCCAGGCCGGGGCCTTACCTTTCCACACGCCACCATGGAGAGGGCCACTTGGTACCAAAGGTGAAATTCTCCACATGCAAACTTCATGGCTCGCTCCAGGCACTGGGGAGAGGACGCCGGTCAGCACTTCTCTGCCAGGACACACCAAGCCCATCCCGCCCTCCAGGGTCATCACTGCCCAAGCCCCTGGCCCAAGAGACTGCAGGAGGCCTGCTTGGTTCCGGTCAGAAAACCTCAGGGGCTTCCCGTCCATGCGGAACCCCTGGCCCTCAGTGCCCACCTCCATGGCAGGTGAATGGTCTCACAGGGTGATGGTGAAAAGCAAATGAAATGAGATTTGTGAAAGTGCTTTTGAAATGTAGACAGACACCCAACAAGAATAACCACAGCTGACAGTTATTAACATTGCGCACGGCACTGTTCTCAGCCTTTTACAGGGAAGGGACCATGGAGGAGGACCCCCGGTGGCTCCATCACATTTTCTCCTGGGAGGGAGGAGCTGGCCGTACCTCCGAGAGCATGACGTACTGGCCCCTCCTGCCCAGCGTGATGCTCAGGAGGTCGTAGATGGCCGCCGCATTCCTCAGGCTCACCGCCCGGTCCTCCTCCTGCTCTGGCGCCCGGCTCAGCACCACATCCCGAGTAGCCTGTTGGGGGACATGGTTTTGGGAAAGAGTGAGAACAGAAAATATGCAGATGCCTGTCCCAATAGAGCCCCTGTCCCCCAGGCCCAGGGACCCAAGCCAGGCAGGTGGCCACACTCCCAGAAACAGCCAGATCCTTCCTCACCCCCACATAGGCCCTCTCTAAAGAGAGAAAACTCCACTCCCAGCCCAGGCTGGTGTGAGGGAGCAGTTCTGAAGGCTCAAGTTCCGGGTAGTCAAGGTTTTATTCTGAAAAATCTCAAACCACCGGCTGGTGCGGCTCAGTGGTTGAGCGTCACCCTATGAACCAGGAGGTCATGGTTCGATTCCCAGTCAGGGCACATGCCCGGGTTGTGGGCTCGACCCCAGTGGCAGATGTGCAGGAAGCAGCTGATCAATGATTCTCTCTCATCATTGATGTTTCCCTCCCTCCCTCCCTCCCTCCGTCTCCCTTCCTCTCTGAAATAAATAAAAAAATATTTTTAAAAAAGAAAAGAAAAATCTCAAACCAACAGGAAAGTTGCAAGAATAATACCATAACAGTAAACCCAACTGTTAACATTTACCACATCTGCAGTGTTTCTCTATCCTACATAATAACAATAAAGCTAGTATGTTATGAGAATATGACCCTTTACCCCTAAAACACAAGAAGACATTCTTTTTATAACCACGACAGAAATGCCAAATTCAGGGAATGCAGCACTGATATCACTATCATCTAATAACAGTTCATATCCTGATTTTACTGTCCATCCTCATCTCTGTTCTGAAGTCTCCCTGAGCCCTGACAAGACCCTGCTGAGCACAGAGCTGGGGTACATCATTCATAGTCGTTTACTTTGGTCACTCCCGGATCCAGTCCAGGGCCATGCCCTGCACTGGGTGCTAGGTCTCCTTAGCCCTTTCACCTGGACAAGCTGCTCAGCCTTCCTCTTTCGGACGCTGGCATTTTTGAGGAGTTAGACCAGTTGTTTTGCAGAAGAGCTCTGTGTGCTTGTAACTGTTCACTCATAGAAACAGCTTCAGAGAATCCGTGGAATGGTCCCCATCAGGGGGGTGGTCTGCTGCGTGACTCACGGAGCCTCAGGCTGTGGGCCCTCAGCTGCCCCTTCTCTGACCCTGTAGGTCTCCCAAGTCCCTCCGATAAGGACCCCCATACTTCCTTCCCATCACCCACAGGTCTGTCCTTGACCCCCTCCAACCACGGAACTCTCTGTTCCTCCCCAAAACCTCTCCCCCAACCTTGAGGCCTCTGCGCTGCCATCCAGCCCTCAGGAGTTCATAGCTCAGAGCTGCCTGGTGGCTGCTCGGGAGGGCAGGGTGCAGGCTGAAGGGGGAACACTCTCACCAAGCCTGAAATCTTACCACCAGGAATCCCAGACCCCCTTGCTCTGTGGGCTGTGGCATGCGGCTCCAGTGCCCTTATACTCAAACCCTGGAGACAGCACTCAGAACAGCTGAACAGAAGTGGCAGGGGTTTCTGAGCTGAGCAGCAGCAGGGGCGGGACCAGGCTGGGGATCCTCTGGTGCCCCTGCATCTCCCAGCACACACCCTGAGGGCTGAAGCAAAGCTGAGTTCTGGCCAGATGCTCCCAGCATCCTGCCCTCTCCTGCATCTTCTCCCCTCTGCCAAGGGGCCTTTTCCCAGCTTCCCCTCCCTGCATACAAGGGTCAGAACCTCCTCCACGTGTTGGGACTCACCCCCCTCTACTTCCCAACACGGGACCTCAGACCTTCCTGACAAAGTAAAAGGGAACTGCTGGCCCTGAAAAGCCAGATCCCACGGGTCAGCTCCATCACAGCCGGTCCTCACATCCTCCCCCCGGCCAGGACCACCACCCCTCCTCCAGGTCAGGGCAGAGGACCCCAAGTGCTGCAGAGGCAGAAGCCCGAGGGCGGCTCAACTGTGGGCTGGATGTCCTGCTGTGCACACCCAAAGTGTGTCCCCACAGAGGCTTCTGGAAGCCATAGTGACTGTCAGACCCAAGGAAGGGACTCGCCCACAGGGGCATTTCAAGCAGCAGGGCAGGCCAGTGGCCAGGGGTCCACAATGTGCGAGGGCTGCCCACTGCCCCCATGGACATGGACCAGCCCTAGGAGAGGGCACGGGAGGCCAGGAGGTCCCCGGAAAGGCTGAGCGCTGTGCCAGCTTGGTAAACAAGAAGGGCCAGGCACTCGAAAGGGTTCAGGGAGAGGCGTGGAGAGGGAGAGTGCCAGAGAAACCCCCTCCTTCCTGGTGAAATCCACCCACACAGGCACCAACAGGAAGAGAGATGAAATTTTAAGGAGATGCTTGGCAGGAGCTATTTCACTGAGCTGAGTAGGAACACAAACTCCAGAACTTGCTCTGAGCCTGGCCACGCTCCTCCCCACTCCCCCACCTCCAGCCTTCACCCCCAGCGACTCCGCAGCTCAGGCTGCCCGGGATGGGGCCCAGAGAGGCAGCTCCCACCAGGCCGCGTTGGGGTGGGGGTGTTAGGGAATGAGAGGGCGGGAGACACAGTCCCCACCCCTCAGCACAGTGCACAGGCACGTACCGAGTGGAATCTGAGAACTCGGGTGGGAGACAGAGGACCTGATGGAGACGGAGCAGAGCAGGCAGCCTGCAGGGTGGCTATTCCATGGGGCTGGGCGGGGGGCGCGGAACGTGATGGGAGAAGCCTGAATAGACACATCTAAGATCTGGGGACCCGCCCATGCTGACCAGTCTCATTCAGGGGCAGGTGAGCAGCAAACTGTCAAAAGCCTCCGCTCTGGTTGGTCTGTCCTTGAAGGGTAGCCCCTGCCAGAACCCAACTCCCACCCCTGCTGACCGCCCCAGGATAGTCTAGCCTCCTTGCTGTGGCCGCCATCAGAGGCCCTGCCTGTGCCCCAGACCCAGACCCCAGCTCTCCAGTCCTCCCTGGGCCCCCACAGAACGCCCCGGCAGCTCTCTAGCCTCACCATGGCCCGTCACTGTTCCCGCTGTCAACTTGGGTGCCTGCAAGCTCCTCACACTCAAAGCTGGTATCTGCACGTATCTCGCCAGGCGAGGCCGGACCCTCACCCTCCCCGAGCACTGGGCACACTGCAACCCTCACACCCGTCCAGCTGGTTCACCAGTTCTTGAGGCAGGGATGTGTCTCCAGACTCCCAGCCCCAGTACAGGCTCACACAAAGCACGTGTAGGAGTGACATCTGAGAGATTTCTGGGCCTGGTGTGGGAACTTCCTCCTGTCCGCCCTCGACCTTGACCTTTAAGAGAACAGTGTCTCCTAAGGTGGACCCGGCGGGAGGGGGTGGATTTCCAGCACTGGGAAGGAATTAGGTCATAAGAACAGGAACAGGAGAGAGGGTTGCAGCAGCATCCCTGGGCCGAGGGATAGGGTGGTGGTGGTGGGTGGCTCCCCAACAGGCAGACAGCAGGGAAGGCATTTTCTCAGGGGTCCTCAGGACTTGGAGCCTGTGCCAAGAGGGAAGCGTGGTTCCCCAAAGGCAAGCCAAAAGCAGAAGTTTGCCCAGCCGTTGCTATGGCTTCAGGGCAGGGCTGCGGTGAAATGCTCCGGTGAAATGCTCTGGTGCCCACTGGGCCTGGCCTATGTACGTAACCATGGCAACAGGGTGGGTGGGGGAAATAGGGCAGAAAGAAGGAAGCAGAAGCCCAGGCAGGGAGCAACAGAGTAGAAATTCACGTGCAGCTCAGGGGCCAGAGCAAACCTCAGAGGAGAAGGCATGCCGGGGGCTAAGTCCCTGCCCAGCGCACCGGGGGTCCTGCTCCCTCCCCGGCTGGGCTCACACCCTTAAAGCCACACATGCTCCCAGCACCATCCGCAGCCTGCCTCAGTCTAGTCCCCGTCACACTCTCTTCCTTCCACCATGTACATGGCCTCGCTAGGAAATCCTCCAGGTCAAATGTAGTGACAGATGTGGAAGGGCCTGTGAGCCTTAAAGCAACATATGGACCCTAAACTTTCTTCTCATCATCATGGTCCTTTCTGGTAATGGAATAATGGCAGAATCTGCTCCCGTGGTGTCTCCTTGCATCACCCCCAGGGCCCACCCCCAGGCCTCCCGCCTCTGGGGGTTCCCAGCTCCTGTTGACCCCACACATTTAATCCGGGGCAGGGTTCACAGGGCTGTCCCTACTCCTAGTCTTCCCGGACACGAGGACATTCGTCCCAGGCCTTCTAGCAGATCAGAAGAGACAAAGCCACAGGACGTGCTCCGCCCCACCCCCCGTCACCCCACAGCTCCTCACAGCCACCGTGCCCACATCTGGTCTCTGGACAAATACCCATGAAGCCAACACGGGTCTCAGGGGAAGGTCCACGAGGGACTGTCCATTTCCCACGTGGGCCGGCCCCAGGGAAACCCATGGCAGGCGACTCCTGTTCAAACAACCCCGTCCCCCCTGATGTGTGTGCCGTGCACTACCCTTCCAGGAGCTGAGTTTTCATGCCCATCACCATCTGGTCTCACAGTGAGCCCAGGATGAAACCAGTAAGTAGGGCCCCTTCACAGGTGGGGAAACTGAGCCCCAGAAGGTCCTGAGAGTTAAGGCTGAGCCCCTGGTGGCCAGTCCTGTGCTCCTCTGCCCAGCCCCTTCTGACTCTGTGAGCCACAGGGCCTCAAACAGTAATAGTCTTCACTTCTGTCCAGCTGTCTCTCCTCTCTAGCCCTGGACACAAACAGCGTAAGAGAAGGGAAGGGAACTAACCTGTGGACGCTTTGTAAGTGGTATCTCATAATTCTCACAATGATCTCTCACATACTACTGTCCTATTTTACAGAGGTGAAGACTGAGGCCCAGGGAGTCCAGGCAGGCACCCAACGCATACAGATCGGTGGTTGGGACTCAGATTAGAACCTAGACATTTTGGTTTCACTCCCAGACTCCTTCCTGCCCCCAGATGCCTCTGAGGAAGTGTCCAGTAGGCTAGTCCTGGCCATCAGAAGGCCTGGCATGTCTCTTCTTGTGGAAGAACCAAAGCAAAACCTAATCAGGCCTGGACGCTGCCTCTCTGAAGAGAACAAGCTCCTTGGGCAATGTGGCCAGGGTCCTGCTCAGCCCTGTCCTCAGACACAGCCTCGCCATTGGCCAAGGACCCAGCCTCAGGGTCGTCTGCTGACACCCCACAGCAAATGCCCTGGAAACGAGTCTCCTGGCAACATCTGTGCCTAGCGCCTGCCCCCCTTGGAGGATGCTGTCATGTTCTACTTGGGCTGCTGTCCCCCACTAATTACCACCAGCTCTCGAGCTGCACGTCCAGAGCCAAGAAAGAACAGGCTCTGCGATGTGTCCCATCTACCGACCGACAGGGCCAGGCCCGCACCAGCCCCCGCTCCTGCTGCATCAGCCTGCCGCAGAAATCCCTGCTCTCCCTCCAGCGAGGGCGAGGCTCTCCCTCTCCTGAACTGAGTGTTCTGAGCTGGCAGTGTGATCATACCCTTTACCGTCGCAGCCCGCAGCAGAGCAGAGCCTCATGTGAGAGCAAACCAGGTGCCAAGAGCTGGAACAATCTGTGCTTGTCTGAGTCCCACATGGAATCCAGCCCAGGAAGCCCCCACACCCCTTTTTTTTTTAACCAAATGGTGTCCTCAAACCAATTTTTTTCTCCCAACCGGATATGAATCTAAATGTTTTCTAAAATGACTGAGTCAGAACCACGTATTTATCAGGACAAAACAGACACGTGTTGAACACCCACAATGTACCAGGCACCTTTGTGCTCATTTTCTTACTTAATCAGCTCAAAGCCCTGCAAGAGAGGCTTTCTTAGCCCCATTTTACAGAAAACTGAGAATCAGGAAGGTAAGAACCCTACGCAGGCCACATAGGTTATGAATGACAAATTCAGGGTTCAAATCGTGGACGTCTGACATTGGGTCTGGCAAACATTTGGTTTGTAAAGGCCACACACCACCCCCTCCCCCGCTCCATCACTCACCACCGGGCCTTTTCCGCCCTCTCACTTCCCAAGAGCCTGCCACCTGCAGCGACTTTTCCAGCAGCTGAAGGAACAGGGGCCCAGGATTCACTTTGCTGTCCCACATATTTTTATGCCCTAGATCAGTATGTTAGACACAGCCAAGATTGCCGTGCCTCCTGGTCCCACGACTGTTTGAGAAAAATCAGGCTGGTTTTGAGACATGATTCTTTCAAAACCTAGACTATGCGTTTGGGGTTCAGCAGATGGGGTAATTCCTTCTGATTTGGGGACCGGGATTTCCCTCATGTCTATGGACACACACTCCACTGGTGGGAGTACACGTGGGACCGGGGCTCCGATTGCACTGTTCGCCACGGCATCTTGGTGCTGAGCACAGCCCGCACGCTGCTCAAACAAGATCAGGTGGATGGGAGACAGCTGCGTGGGTGGGCGGATTTTAAAATGCTCTTTTGGCCCCAAAGACTCAAAACTGGATCCAAAACACAACTCTTCAACCAGTTATAGCTCCATATCCCTTGCGATTCTGTGGAAGCATTTAAGATTTCTATTTGCTTCTCGGAAGACAAGAGCTTACCCATTCTTTCTGATCACACTCAGTCAGACCATAACAAAAACCATGCCCAAGGCACCAGCCCCACACCCGATCCCAGGCAGGCTGCTCCTCTGAACTCCAAGCCACAGAGCAGGGGCTGCAGTGCTCGGGAGACATGTAGACGCCCTGGCCTCGCGATCCTGGAGGTGGAGAGCTGGGAGGACACCTCCTGGGCTGGCTGCGCTGAGAAAGCGTTCACTGCAGTATAATGAATCCTGCAGGCATTAGGAGAACCCAAGTAGCAGCCACAACAGGCAGCTGCTGTTCTAGAGGTTTGTCCCTGTCATCTGCAGGCAAACACAGCCAGCGCCAAAGGGAGATGAGGAAAACCCTGCAGGGACATGGTGGCCACACTGAACCTCAGTCCAATGGAGGGCCCCAGCAGGAGCCGGGGAGGCTCGCACAGCGATGCCCACACCTGCTGGAGAATGTTGCCTGCAGGGAGGCAAGAGAGAAGCCAGAGGCCGTCTGGTCACTGAGAAACAGCTCTGAGCCACAGCAACCAGCTCCAGATTCCAGGTGGAAAGCGCTCTGTAGATGAGACACCAAAGCAAAGTCCATTGCCAGAGCTCTCCCCCCAAATGCTGAAGTTTCTGAATGTGTGACAGGCTTGGTGTGAGCAAGAGGAAACCAGCCAGCCAGCCAGCCAGCCAGCCCCGGAGGTGCCTCCTCCCGCTGCAGTGCACTCGGCGGAGTCCGAGCACTTCCTCCGCTCTGCATGCTACAGGGAATTCCCAGGACACCGCCTGGTCTGCAGGCCTGGACCCCCTGAGTCTCCTGATCAAGCCAGCCAGCCAGCCACACAGCCTCTCAAAAAGGGGAAAGAGCTGGTTGGAGGGAAACCACACATTCAGGAAAATTCTCCCTGGCTCCAAAGGTGGGCCACCTTTTAGCAAAAGGTGTTCTTCATCTTATTTTAGGGCAGCTTGAGGTCCCAAAGTTATTCCTCCCTTCAATGGGAAGGCTTCCGAACTCTGGTCCTGGGCACCCACAGAAAATTCTTGGGGAGACAAAGCCCAGCCTTGATCCCCGCCTGTGCTTTAGAAGCTACTTAGGGAAACAGAAGTGATTCAAATCTCGGTTGCGAGGATTATTAGTGTGACCTTGACCAAGACACATACTTGTTCTGGACCTTACTTATCGCATCTGTAAGATGGGACCGTATCAGTATTACACTGAACCATGTGAAATCGTTAGTAGCTCAATACAATGCCTACCTCTTGGAACCTGGCAGAGAAAGGACCTAAGAAATGTTCACTTTCACCTTTGACCTTCCACCTGCGGACCACACTGTAACCCTCAGCACAGGAAGGTGACGATAACAACCCATGTTTCCTGAGAGAGGTGATCTCAGTGCAATTTGCCTGAGGGAGAAAGTGGTGAGATAACTGAGGTGTGTGTAGGGGACAGAGAGGGGGTGCTGGTCTATGTCTGAGGTTTTATAATTAGAAACTGGGGTTCAGTCTGTGGTCTGAGTGAGGGTCCTTCTTTTCTGTGAAAAGTATACTATTCTCCAATGAAAATCAGATCTGGCACTTGGTACTTCTAGCTTCGCATCAGACTCACCAGCTAGATGTCCCCTCCCTGTAGCAGCCACATCCCCCCTCACAAGCCCACACCCTGCAAACCTTTCAGGACCACACCCTGGCCAGTTTGCACTCAGATTCAAATATCCATGCCCCTTCACAGAGCTCTCAAATCCCAACGGAGCCGGCTGAGGAAGAACACAACCTCTTGCCCCCTAGTCCAGCGTCCCTCCTTCTGTCTATTTGCCAGAAGACCTGCTGAGCCGGAGGTCACCCACTGACCAAAGTTCTCTAAACCAGCCCTGGCATCGCACGGTCCCAGGTCCCCAAAGGAACATCCGTATCTGGCTATTCAGGGATCCAGCCCATTAGGTCTTAGTTTTTTAAACTTCACTTCCACATCCTGCTCTCAGATGCATCATTTTAAAAAATCTAGTTCCCAACCTGGGGTCCCCAGCTCACAGGCTCTGAGGGGCTCCTCAGTCACAGGGCTCCCCCAGGCCACGCCGTGTTGACAGCATCTCCACACCTGGCTTCTGCTGCTCCTGCTCACTCTCCCCCACCTCCCTTGGACCAGGGCAGCCATCATCTCGCCACCTCCTGGACCACCCAACTACACCTCTCCCCTTTGCTGAGCCTCCAAACCCTGGCATGTGTGTGTGTGCGCACGCGCATGCATGCATGTGTATGTTTGCATGTGTGTGTGCTGTCTCCCTGCCTAGGGCAGGGATGGGGCTCATAAAAAAATCTGAAAAGCACCTCACGTGTGCTCTGTCCCGCACACCGTATCCCCCCATTGCCTTATTTTCCTACGCACACAGACACTGGTACCCGGGTTATTTTAGTAGTTAATGCATTGCCCATCCCTCACTAGAACGTCAGTTCCACAAGAGCAGGGACTTTTCTCCGTTTTGTTTGCTGGTGCAACTCTGGCATCTAGCAGGTGGCCTGGCACAAGGTAGATGACACTGGAGAAATAGTTTTGTGACCAAGTAAATTCCTTTTACAGGCACGTTGTACTAACTTCTGGGAGTTGCTTTTATTTTAAAGGTGAGGAAACTGAGGCTCAGAGAGGTTAGGCGGTTTGCCCAGGGCCCTCAGCTAACGAGTGGCAGAGCTGGAACTTGAACCCAGGCCATCTGCAGGCTCCTCCCATTCCCTTACCCAGCACAGAGCTGCAGGATGCAGACAGCTGACGTGCTGATATCCATCTCTCGTAATCCCAGAAGAGGTGGGTGGGGACTTGTTAGCTCAGGCCCGCCACATTTGGGGGCAGGACCCAGGACCCCAAGTGCAGCCTTATGCACCCGACCCAAACCTTGTGCACCTCACCCCAGTGGAGGTGGGGTGGGATGGGGGTAGATCTAAGAATCCTGCTTCAGGGATGACCCTGGGAGGCCAGGACCTGGTGGGGCAGGGGAAGGCCTGGAGCTTACCATGGACTCGCTGATGAGGAGCAACAGGAGGGCTTCCTCGATGTTGTCCTTTGGGCAGTAGAGGCTGAAAGACACAAAAGGCGCGTGGCTCCAGCAGGGCCCTCACAGTGCCGCTGGCCCGTCACCTGCCGGCCTTCTGCCCAGAGTCTGCCCCAGCCCTGTAAGGTGACCCTCTCCTGCATAATTCACAGGCACTGGAGCCACCTGCAGTGCTGGCTCACGCCCCAGAGTTACGGATCTGAAATGCTGGGTGGCGCCAGCCTGGAAATACTGTGACTGCTCCTGGGGAAATGGCCCTTCCAGTGCCTGGCACTGTGTGAGGAGGCTGGGCGAGGAGTCTGCCGGGCGGTCACAGACCCCACCTTCAATTACTGCCACAAACAAGAGAGATGCGATATTAAGTAAGACAACTAGGAAGGCAGGTGCTCCCCCAAAAATTTGTGTGGCCTTTGGATGCTCTACAGGAGTCTCCTGCCAACCCCCACTGGAGACCTGCCTTACCAAGGTTACGTGGCTCTTGCTAACACTGAAGAGCCTGCCTGGCAGTGAGCTGGGTGGCAGCTGGAGTGCATGGGGCAGAGAGAGGGGCGGCCAGTGGGGCTGGAGCCTGGCGTGGTCCAGCAGGGGCAGAGCTTACTTGTCTCCTTCGTAGAGGTGAGGCTTGCGCAGGGCTTGCAAGATGAAGGAATTCTCCTCTTTATTCATGAACTCGGGCAGAGGCTGGGACAGGGGGCTCCAGTAGCACTCCTCACTCAGGGAGTGCAGCAGGACCCCCGCCAGGTGCTTGGCCGCCACCTGGCAGAGAGGGCGGGATCAGGCCCAGGCCCAGGTCACTCTCCCCTGATGTGGCCAGAGTGCCCTCCACCCACCTCCCAGCCTTGCCAAGTGCAGCCCCTCCTGGAGGCCCACCATTCCGCTCCCAGGAGCCCCTTGGGCACAACAGGTGGTGAGCCAGCGTCCTTTCTGTTGGCCTTTGATGGCTCCTACTTAATCTTTTTTCCTCTCTCCCTCCTAGACAAGAGGTGCATTTCTCCCTTCTCCTGACTCTGTGGGGCCCAGCACAGCTCTGAGTATCCACAGGCCCTTGCAGACTGGCCTGCCCCTCTCTAGGCCTGCATGATCACCCCATCAGCCTTAGCCCATCCAGTCAGCCCTCTGTGCCTTAAAATAATTTTCAAGCTTTTAAAAGTGTGACCTATAGTAAAAAAAAAAATACATTTGACATTGAAAAGCCATAGCACAGTCAGCTAGCTCTTTCTACCAAATGCCTTTCTGATATTTGAGCAAAAATTCTACAATGAATAGCTGCTCTGGCTCTGATATGGGGTGAATGAAAGCCTCAGAAGGCAGGCCTGAATTGGAGCAGCAAAGCAGAGTCAAGGTTATTTACTAAGAGCAAAGATCCCTAAGAATTAGTCCACCACCTTGCGAGGGTATGGTGCCAGCAGGCTTCAACTCTGACCCAAGGCTTGGGGCTATCTGCAGTGTGATGAGAAGGCTGCTGCGGGTGCTTCCTGGCTTCGTGGGAAAGTGCTGTGACTGACTGACAATGTGTGCCATGAGCACGCTGGGAGAGAAGTATGCATGTGACACATGGCCATCCCTGATGCCTGCCAGGACTTCTGCCGTCTCCCACTGAACTTGACCCCCGAGTAAACCAGCTACACCCAGCACCCAGCACCCAGCCCTGGGGTCCCCTCCATGTTACCACTTTGAAGTTCTGAGTTGCTTTGGTCTCCACAGTCCGTAGGACCTCCCGGAGCTCTCTCATGCCTTTCACGATGTTCCTAGTGGGAAGACAGCACAGCCAGGGTCAGAACCAGCCTAGTTCCCCCAAAGACATCCTCATCAAACCTGCAGACACGAGGAGCCTGCCTGAATTCTGTTTGAAAACCCTCAATAACTGGAATGGACGGTCAGAGTTGTAACACTAGCACCCCAGATGGCCAGGACATCACCCATTAAAGAACAGGGGGATCCTTCGCTCCAGATCCCCTGAAACTCAGGCCTGCAGTTTGCCACCAGAAGGGGACCAAGATCAAGTGTTTCAAACAAGATGTTATTTTGGCCCAAGAGCTTTGGGCTGGTGTCAAACTTTCTGACTTGAGTTGGTTTCAAATCCTCTATCTTTACTCTCCACATCGGGCCAACACTGGAACCCACCCTCACCTTTCAGTCCCTGCTACAGGGCCCAGATTGGCTTGCATCACCCCAGGCCCACATAACCACCCTGGCCAGCCTCACCCCTTCCAGTCAGCCCTCTGTGCCGTGAAATAACTTCTAAGCATTTAGAAGTGTGACCCATAGTAAAAAATACATTTGACATTGCAACCAGGATATATATACACTTTCCTTACATTCAACTGAGGCAAGTGTCTTGATATCATCTGCCTCTACTACATGCAATCCACTCTGATATTTCTATTTTATGTCTCCCTTATTCCCCTTTTTAAGTAATGTCGGCTGAGGCCCACTAAATAGATCTTGCAACCCACCAATGGGTGTGGCCTGCAGTTTGAACAACTATTTCCACTGTCCCTCAAAGGGTCTACCCAACATGCAAGAGTATCTTGTTGGCCCCAGGTTGGCCCCTTGGTTGGCCCCTCAGTGCTTACAGGTCTTCAGCTGTTGAGTCTGCCCCTTGCCCTCTTGCATCTCATCTCCCACCACTCAAGTCCTTTCTGAATGACCGACCACGGCTCCCTGCATCATGTCTCCTCACACTGCCTTAAACAGCCTTTCCAGTATTTATCCTTTAAAAACTCTTTCCAATATCACTTCCTTCTTGCAGCCTTCCCAGGTCCCTCACCACGCTGTGTCACTCTTGCACCCTGTTAATTCCTCTTCTGAAGCAAGCACGACATTTTTGGTCATTTTCTGTTTATGGGCTGACCTCCCGTGCCCTGAGGACTCCTGCCGTGCTCCTGAAGCTCAGCCCCAGCACAGCCCCTGGTGCATAGCATGTGCTCAGCCAACATCTGAGGATATTCTTCTCATTTATTCTAAGAGTTCCCTGGATCATAGCACTTAAGCGAAAGCAGAGGCTGATGGGCCAGAAAACAGAAAAGCAAGATCACAGAGGGTGAAAAAGCCAAAGGGGGCAGCCAGGAAAGTCACACGAGTCCCTCCTGCAACCTTCATACACGGAACAGATTCCTGGGTGCTTCGGGGCCTGGAGCCATAAAAGGACAGATTTGTAGATCAAGTCCCTGCTTCTGTTTTCACACAAACAAGTTCCAAACATGCAAACTACCAACATTATAAACACAGACCCTTGTCTGTAAAGCTGAGAATAGAGGCTAAGACCTGTGGGATGGAATCAGAGTCACAATGACCTTCCCAGAGCTTCTGAAGAACTAACTGTGAGGGGCAGGCAGGACAGGGCACCATAGCGTCCTTAGAAACAGTTCAAGTATGGACGCTACTACTGATGGCCAAGAGGCTCAGGGAGGCAGGCTCGCCTCTGTGGGCCGTGCATGGTCTCCTCTATAAAGTCAGCCCTTCAGTTTGGATCAGCATCTCCCAGACTTGTTACTTGTATACTACATTTACAATTTTTGCCACTAGCTGCATACCATCAGAGTTATTATTCATGTAATACTTTTCTTTATATCTTCTTTTTATTTCAGTAGTTATCTTACCTAAATAAAAAATACTCGAAATCAAGGATTTGGTGTGCTAGTTATTTTTTTTTGCTAACAGATATTAAATACAGAAGTACTTTTTAAAAGTTGGTGGTTTCTAAAACCACCTTGTGTATTGCTAGAGCTATTCAGCCCATATTTTGAGAAACCACAGTTTAGACCATAGGTTCTCAAAGTGTGGTCCCTGAACCAGCAGCAGCAGCATCCTAGAAAAACAAATTCTGAGATCCCCCACTCCAGCCCAGCAATTTGGGTTTTATCAGATCTCCAGAGGGTTCCGATGGACACTGAGATTTGAGAACCACTGGTTTAGATGACCCCCCAGTGTCTTCCCATTCTCCTATGCCAAGAAGCCAGGTTCCAGAGACACAACCAGTTGTGGAAACCCCAGCTTTGCAGCCAGATCCTAAATCTTGGGAAGGAAGGCATTGAGTCCTAGTCCCTCCATCTCTGGGGGGAAGATTCCTCATTTGCTGTCAGTAAGATGAACATATGAAAAGCCCCAAGCATACCCAAGCATGTGGTAGAGGATCACTAAATATTAGTTATTTTCCTTTCTCCTTCTAATTTGGGTCCTAAAGACCATATTACTTATAACATAATTTGCCACATTATTTTGCATGGATGCTCAGGAGCTAATAGTAACTGGGGGAGGAAGCAAGTGCCTGAGGAGATCCTCTAGCTTTGTGTCCATCTTACTCCACCAACCCCCCTTCCCCACCACCCCCCCACCCCCGCCGCCCAGGGGACATAAGAACAGGATTCCCTGGTCACACCAGAGACAGGCTGGGAGCCCCCATGAGTTCAATAGGAAAAATTGGCAGATAGCCCTTCGATGCCACTGAGACCACGACCCCCGCGCTGGACAGCAGGCCACCACCAGGGGAGAGGAAACAGACAGACTGCACGAGCTCCCGGAGAGAGGAAATGGCTGGCTGGCAAGTCTGCCGGAGAATTCTGTCCTGGCAGCTGGGCCAAATGGCCATTGGCTGTGGGGCTGGATCCTGGGACCTGTGGGTGATTTTCCACTCTGTGGGCCACCTGCCAGCCTCCTCCCTGGCAGCCTGGCCCAGGCTGCGACCAGGAGGCCAGAGCCAAGAGGGACTGTGGCCCCTTCTTTCCACTCTAGCGCAAGGACTGTCCTCTTTCTGCCTTTGGTCCCCACATCATCAGCACTGAAGGGTGCTCCCAGGCTCTCGGGGGACACGGGCCTCACCTGGGGGCTTGAGAGAAGTGCAGGCTCTCAGAGTCCCCAACACACACACAGGCAAGGAGTTAGAACTCCTTTTACATTTTAACAAGATCCTATGTTCAAAAAATTGTGTATTTTTACCATTCTCAAATCTGTAAGGGCTTTTGGTATCAAAATAAATTCCCAGGAATTCTTTAGCTAAGGAATAATCACCCTCAGGCATCTTTTGGGGAAAGCCCAAATTTTATTAAATGCATGTAGAGAAAACCCAACACATGGGTTCCAGCGGCCAGGACTGCACAGGAAAAGATTCGGGCTCCTAGCTGGCGCTGACCTGTTGAGGTGCCCCTCAGCTCACCCCTCCAGGAAACGAGAACCCAGAGGGGGTTTGTCCCACCAGCCTGAGCAATCTGCCCCAAAGTCTCAGGCTGCCCACACCAGGTAGAGCTGGGGCTTTTCCGAGCCTCGAGAGAGACCAGCTTCAAAGATCTCTTTGTTCTGTCTCTCACGCTGACCTTTCTGAGCAAAGCTGCCACTTTTCACAATATCCAAACAGGGTCTCAAACAAACCCTGGCCCAGGATCAGGCTGCACGTGGAGAAGCCAGGAAGCCACTGATTCCAACTCCAGGAAAGCCCGGCTGGCCGGGAGCAGAAAGCAAGAGGACTTGTGAAGGCGGAGAGAGGTCAAGGCAACAGCTCAGGGAGGCCTCCAGTGGGCCCTGCAGGAGGCTGCACGCGTCTCGGGTCCCCTGTCCGCAGCAGGCAGCAGTGCGGATTTTTCAAAGTGCTTCATCTCCTTCAGTTTTCACAGCTTTTATAAGGTGTCTGAGGCAGACTTTGTTATCCCAGGACCAGCACGGGGCTTGGCACACGGAAGGCACTCGGGAAGGCAATGTGGAATAAATAACTCCCATTTCCCAATAGGAACGTGAAAGCCTGGAAGATACCTGCCTTTCCAGGCTATCACTTACCCAAGGGGAGAGGCAGGCTTCCCACGGGCACCACGAGGTTCAGCTTTTACTGCCTTTGAACTAAAAAGACCCCGAGAAAGACACCTTTCCTTTCCTTTCCGGCCATTAGAACTCCAGGACTCACAGGACTCAACTAGCTAAATGTTTCCAACGCCTGCTGCATCCCAAGTGCCTGGCCATCAGACCTGTTCTCCACAGGCACCTAACGGACACCGGGGGGATGAACTTAGAGGTGCCTGAGCATCGCACTGGCACCCTGCACGGAAGGAGCTCAGCCTGTTATAAACTAGCCCCTCTTGATGTAGTCAGAGCTTAGCAAACTGTTTTGTACACAGTAGGTGAGCCACACAAACATTTTGGGGGTGTGTGTGTGGGGGGGTGTGGGGGGAGTTAGTTTGATTTGAAACAGAGAATAAAAAAGTGCCTGGAATTTATGGCTGAATGGAACCTATTCAGACACTAGTGCATACGACCCCGGCCAGAAGTCCCCTCTCGGGGCTGGCACTACAAACTGTGTATGAGAGGTTTCTGATCAAAGACTCAGATGAGCACAGCTAGCTGGCAGGTCCCAACAGCAGGAGGGCTGAGTCTGGAGGCAAGGTCAGGTGAAGTTCAAAGGTTATCAAGCCGTTCACTCCGGCCATGGACCCACCCACACCATCAGTTTTAAAAAACGAAAGCTCTGCTCTTCACCCCCAGCCCCAGAAAGAGGCTGTGACACTCCTTGAGGGGCACTGAGGAGGTCCAGGCGAGGGGTGGGGGAGGGGCAGGGTGCTGACAACAAGCAGGCTGTGCATTCAGAGGCTGGAGAGCGTGTGCTCCCCAGCAGGACTCAGGTCTCCCTGTGCCCCCCAATGTGACACAGACCACCCAGAGGTTCTCCTGGGCTTCGCTCTGGAGTGATCCCCCCTTCGAGTGATATGCTCCTGCCCTCCCCCAGCACTGCAGATACTGCGTGGCTGGCTGCTGAGAGTAAGAC